TGTAGGATAGATTTCTATATCTCATTTCCTGTTTTTCTTATTTCCCAGTTACATGTGAAAAAGATTTTTTTTTAACATATGTTTTTAAAACTTTGGGTTCCAAATTTTCTCCCTTCCTCTCTCCCCACCTACCCTCATTGAAAAGGCAAGCAACTCGATATAGGTTATACATGTGTAGTTATGCAAAACACTTCCGTAGTAGTCATGTTGTGAAAAACTAACTGTATTTCCCTTAATCCTATCCCACCCCCCATTTATTTTATTCTCTCTTTTGACCCTGTCCCTCCTCAGAAGTATTTGCTTTTGATTACCCCCTCCCTCAATCTGCCCTCCCTTCTATCATCCCCTTGCTCTCTTGTCCCCTTCCCCCCTATTTTCTGTAGGGTAAGATCGATTTCCATACCCAATTGAGTGTGTATGTTATTCCTTCCTTAAGCCAAATCCTATGAGAATAAGATTCACTCATTCCCTCTCACCTTCCCCCACTTTCCCTCTACTGTAAAAGACTTTTCTTGTCTGTTTTATGTGAGATAATTTACCACATTCTACCTCTCCCTTTCTCCTTTTCCCAGTATAATCCTCTCTCACCCCTTAATTTTATTCTCCAGATATCACCCCTTCATCTTCAACTCACCCTGTGCCTTCTATCTATCTATCTATCTATCTATCTATCTATCTATCTATCTATCTATCTATCCATCTATCTATACATCTATCTATATATCTATCTATACTTATAATTTTTCCCCTCCAACTACCCTAATAATGACAAAGGTCTCGTGAGTTAAATATTATCTTTCCATGCAGGAATGTAAACAGTTCAACCTTAATAAGTCTCTTATGATTTCTCTCTCCTGTTTACCTCTTCATGTTTCACTTGAGTCTTGTATTTGAAAGTCATATTTTCTATTCAGCTCTGGTCTTTTCATCAAGAATGCTTGAAAGTCCTCTATTTCACTGAATGTCCATTTTTTCCCCTGAAGGGTTATACACAGTTTTGCTGGGTAGGTGATTCTTGGTTGTAATCCTGTCTCCTTTGACCTCTAGAATATTATATTCCATGCCCTGTGGTCCCTTAATGTAGAAGCTGCTAAATCTTGTGTTATCCTGATTGTGTTTCCACAATACTTGAGTTGTTTCTTTCTGGCTGCTTGCAATATTTTCTCCTTGACTTGGAAACTCTGGAATTTGGTACAATATTCCTAGGAGTTTTCCTTTGGGGAATCTCAGGAGGTGATTGGTGGATTCTTTCAATTTCTATTTTGCCCTCTGGTTCTAAAATATCAGGGCAGTTTTCCTTGATAATTTCTTGAAAGGTGATGCCTAGGCTCTTTTTTTGATCATGGCTTTCAGATAGTCCAATAATTTTTGAATCTTCTCTCCTGAATCTGTTTTCCAGGTCAGTTGTTTTTCCAGTGAGATATTTCACATTGTTTTCTATTTTTTCATTGCTTTGGATTTGTTTTAAGTGTCTTGATTTCTCATAAAGTTACTAGCTTCCAGTTGTTCTATTCTAATTTTTAAGCAAGTATTTTCTTCAGTAATCTTTTGTACTTCCTTTTCCATTTGTCCAATTTTGCTTTTGAAGGCATTCTTCTCCTCATTGGCTTTTTGGACCTCTTTTACCATTTGGGTTAGGCTATTTTTTAAGGTGTTACTTTCTTCAGTATTTTTTTGGGTCTCCTTTAGCAAGCTGTTGACTTGTTTTTCATGATTTTCTTGCATCACTCTCATTTCTCTTCCCAGTTTTTGCTCTACTTCTCTTGTTTCTCAAAATCCTTTTTGAGTTCTTCCATGGCCTGGGACTGATTCATATTTTTCTTGGAGACTTTGGATGTAGGAGCTTTGATTTTGTTGTCTTCTTCTGGTTGTATGTTTTGATCTTCGTTGTTACCAAAGAAAGATTCTATGGTCTGACTTTTTGCGAGGCTTGGTCATGATCCCAGCCAATTACTTGAGTTTTAAACTCTTTGCTAAGGTAGGAGTCTCCTTCCATTGTAGAAAATATACTGTCCCAAGCTTTGGGGGTTTTATGCAACTGTTTTCAGAGATACTTCTAGGGACCTGTAAATTTTCGCTTCTTCCAAGGTGGTATGATAATTGGTGAGGTGTTTACTCCTTTCCTGGCCTGTGCTGTGGTCTGTGAGTGACCACAAGCACTCTTTTCTGCCTTGGAACTGTGAGGAGGATTTCCTCTCCACCACCACTACAAGCTTCATCACACCAGCACTCCTCCTCACCCCAGGACCACCACCCAGAACTTCAAACCAGATCCAAGCACGGGCGAAGCAAGACATTCCTGTGTCAGCACTGGCAAAGAGATCCCTGCAATCCCACTCTGATCAGCCACCCAATTCCCCCTCAGTCTGTGGGCTGGAAGCTCTGGAAGCAGCCGCCACCCCAGGGCCGCACTCAGGGACTGGGGCTGGGACCGAGCTTCTCTCTGTCACCACAGTCACAGACCTTTCCCACTGACCTTCTAAGTTGTCTTTGGTGTTTGTGGGTTGAGAAGTGTGGAATCTGCCTCAGCTGCCCGTGATTCAGTCCTTTGAGGCCTGCTCCAGGTTCACTGAGACCTGTTTTGCCTACACGCTCATGCCAAACTGCGCTCCTCTCCCTGCCTGGTGCGATATACCTTTCCAGTCAACCATTCAGACTGTCTTGGGCTGGAAATTTATTTCACTCTGTCTTTTTGTGGTCTGCTGCTTTAGAATTTGTTTAGAGCCATTTTTTATAGGTATTTGGAGGGGTTTAGGGGAGAGCTTAAGCAAGTCACTGCTTTCACTCTGCCATCTTGACTCCGACCCCACAATAATTTCTTAAAAGATGATGTTTAGGCTCTCTTTTTAATTATGGCTTTTGGGTAGTCCAGTAATTCTTAAATTATCTCTCCTGGATCTATTTTGTAGGTCAGATGTTTTTCCAGTGAGATATTTCACATTGTCTTCTATTTTTTTCATTCTTTGGGTTTTGTTTCATTGTTTCTTGATGTCTCATGGAGTCATTAGCTTCCATTGCCCAATTCTAATTTTTAAAGAATTATTTTCTTCATTCAGCTTTTGTATCTCCTTTTCCATTTGGCCAATTCTGTTTTTTAAGGAGTTTTTCTCTTTAGTGGATTTTTGTGCCTCTTTTGCCATTTGGCCTATCCTGTTTTTTAAGGTGTTATTTTCTTCAGTACTTTTTTATGCTTCCTTGCCAAATTTTTGACTCTTTTTTTTTTCATGATTTTCTTGTATCACTCATTTCTTTTTCCAGTTTTCCCTCCAACTCTATTATTTGATTTTTAAAATTCATTTTGAGATCTTCCAGGAAGTCTTTTGGGCCTGAGACCAATTCGTAGTTTTTCTTTGAGGCTTTTGATGTAGCAGTTTTGACTTTGTCGTCGTCTTAAATTTATGTTTTGATTTTCTCTGTCATCGTAGTAACTTTCTGTGGTCTTTTTTTGTTTGTTTCTTTTGTTTTTTTTTTTTGCTCATTTTTCCAGCCTATTTCTTAACTTTTAACTTTATGTTAAAGTTGGTCTCTGGCACCTGGAGTAGAGGGGGGACACTGTCCCAAACTTCAAGCCTTTCTTCCTGCTACTTTCAGAGCTAGTTCTGGGGGGTCTGTAAGTTCTTCAAAGGTGGTATGATCTAAAGAGAGGTGTGGGCACTGTTCTCCTGGCTTGTGCTCTGGTCTGTGAGAGACCCACAAGCACTCTTTTCCATCTGGAGCTGTGACCAGGGTTCCTACTCCACTGTAGCTACAAGCTGTTGTGTACAACTGTTCCTTCTTGCCCTGGAACTACAACCCAGGACTGCAACCTGGATCCACATATGGTCAATGTGACAGAGTCCTGTAGCCAGTTCTAGAAAAGGGACCTCTTCAATCTCCTGACCATTTGTTTGACCCCCTTCCCATTTGTGGGCTGAGAGCTCCAAAAACCACTAATGACTTTGCTGAGGCAGTCACCTGCAAGGCTTACTGCTGTTTTTCTGAGGCCTGGCCTACTACAGCATGTGCTCGACTGTGTTTCACTCTCACTGTGGTGTGACAGACCTTTCTTGCTGACCTTCTAAGGGCTGGAAATTTATTGGGCTGGAAAATTGTTTCCCCCCATTCTTTTGCAGGGTCTGGTTCATTCATTTTGAGGACTTATTTAAAGTTGTTTGGAGGGTAATCTGGGTGAATTACTTCCTTCTCTTTATTGTCTTGGCTCTGCCCAATGGTCACATTTTTTAGGGAGCCTTATAACTCTTTGGTTAACTCTCAGAGCTTTTTCCTCCAAATTTGTCATTTTTGTTTGTTTTCAGCTTTCATTGTGGTTTCCATCCTTGACTTCAGCATTCTTATTTTCAGTTCAGCAGCTATATTTCTCAGTGAATCTGTTGTTTTTTTCTTCCACAGATATTTTCAAGTAGATTTCCATCATCTTCTCATCTTCACTAATTTCATTTCTTCCTTCATTTCCATCAGTACAAGTATTTTACACATTGATGTTCCTGATGTGTTATTTTGGATAGCATTACTGTAATTTATTACATACTTTTTCTTTTATGTTTGTTACAGGTTTATTTCATATTATATCCATCTCATTGGAGCTTTTCTTTATTTGCTTATTTATTTGATCTTCCTTTTTTTAAGAGATTATTTTCTTTGAAGGTTTTTTTTGTAACTCCACATTTTTTTTGTTTTGTTTTGTTGTTTCTGTTGCTCTTTTTGAAGAGGATATGGGTTCTCTTGTGCCATCTCATTCTACCACCTTCATTTATAATGTGCTTATTTATATATTTGTGTTCTTATCTCTACTAGGTTTAATACCTCCTTGAGGGCAGGGATTATGTCTTAATTTGTCTTTGTCTGTCCCCTAGTGCCTATTAAAATACATTGCACATACCAATCACTTAATATGTTTGTTGAGTGCATGTTGTTTTTTCTTAAATAAAGTTGTCTTCAAGTAGTTAAATCTTTGTGATGCAACATAAAAATTTAACTCTTCCTTCTCTGTTCTCACACAGTTTTCAGGAAGCACAGGAAGAACTGGTTGAATTCCAAGAAGGAAGCAGAGAATTAGAAGCAGAATTGGAAGCTCAGCTAGTTCAGGCTGAACAAAGAAATAGAGACTTACAAGCTGATAACCAAAGATTAAAATATGAAGTGGAAGCATTAAAGGTATTTGAAAGTCTCATCATAAGATCTACTTTATAGTTATTTAATTTTCAATTAAAAATTTAATTAATTTTATTTATTTACAATTAATTTTATATAATATATTTTACATAATAATTTTATAAATTTGTTTATTATTATAAATTTATTAAATTAAAATTTCAATTTAGTGAGAAACATAACATATTGTGCTTTCTGGCTTTTCAAACGTATCTGTAATCAGTAAATGAAAATGAATGAGTAAATGAATTTATTGTATTTATCTAGTAAGTGGCAGGTAGGTAGCACAGGGGATAGAGCTCTGAGCCTGGATTAAGAAGACCTGAGTTCGACTGCATCCTCAGACACCTATTTGCAGTGTGACCCTGGGCAAGTCACTTAATCATGTTTGCCTCAGTTTCCTTATCTGAAAAATGATCTGGAGAAGGAAATGGCAAACCCTGTCAATTTATTTAGTGCATTTGTTTTGTATGCTTTTAAATACTGCTTTCATTATCCTCTCTTATTAAGATAGAAAGTAAGGAAGAACTAAAGTGAAAGATAAGAGGAAAGGAGAAAGACTAAGAGCAATAGAAAAGCTATAGTTGGATCAATGTGGACAGCTCCATCCACTGACAGTACAGGCTAAGTTTGTGACTTAGTAGTTGAAGCTTAGAGAGTTGTTTGGCCATAGAACAATATATGAAGAAGCTGAAAGTGCTTCCAGTCTAACCTCCTCATTTTATGGATGTGGAAACTTAAACTTTGAGAGAGTTTTAATGATTTGTCCAGGGTTACACAGCTAGTAAGTAACATAGACAGGAGTTGAACCTAGGTCTGCCTGCCTCCAAGTCCAGGACTCTCATCTACAGTGCCTCTGTAATAGAGCATGGGGAAAGGAACTAAAAATTGATTTTTAAAATAGTTTTTCCCCCCGTGGGATTATGAAGATTTTTGTATTGTATCTTTAAGAGGCAGCATGGTTTATTGGATAAATGACTGCCCTTGGAATTAAGAGGAACTGGGCCCATTCTTGTTTCTGAGACATACTAGCTATGTGAGTAGGGGCAGTGCCCCCAGGCAGCTTTCTAAAATATAAATTATAGATAAGGTTGGTTGAGAGCATTTACACTATGAGTTCCCTATGTTAACAAAATCTTAGGTCTGAACTGAAACCAAAACAATTGGAAAGATCTCATATTTTAGAAATGTAATTCTTCATTTTAGAGGTAGGTATCAATTTCCTAGCTATACCTATAAGTCTCTTTTGATATTTAAAAGCTGTTTGATTATAGGATTATTCTTGAGAGATTATTGTACCTTTTTCCATAGTACTTGAAAGTACTTAAACTTATATTCATGTTCTGAGTCCTTTGTTTTGAAAGAAATTCAATTATTTGGTGGTAGTGTATTCTGGATTTACCATAGACTGGATAAAGTTAAACTCATGTTTAGATTCAGCCTATAGATTGAATAAAGTTTTCTATCAGTCATCTACAGTTGCTGTCATTTAGGAGGTTGTCAATGTCCTGATGTCTAATGGAATCACATTACTTGACTTTTACTCTAAAGAGAGCTCATTAAAAGGCTTCCTTTTTGGGCGTGTGTCAGGATAGTTGATGGCAATGTCAGGGGATCTGATTTACTTGATGACACATGTACAGTTGGAATTTATATTTAAATTTTTATGAATCAGTGCATCCAAAATGTGTTTATGATTCGACTTTTAAATATTGGAAAGGTGACATCAAAATTATGTTGAAATTTAATTTTTTCCCCAATCAAATTATATGAAAACTAAATACCAGTGACATAGTACTAGTCCCTACACTTACTCTTACTTTTAGGAGAAACTAGAACATCAGTATGCACAGAGTTATAAGCAGGTCTCTGTTTTGGAAGATGATTTGAGTCAGACACGAGCCATTAAAGAACAATTACATAAGTATGTAAGAGAGCTGGAGCAGGCCAATGATGACCTGGAGAGAGCAAAAAGGTAGGTAATATATGTTTTAATTTTTTTTTACCAAAATATGGATATATACATATACATACATATACACACACATATACATACATACATACATATGTATCTTAATATATGGTTTTCCCCCCTATTATCTAGAAGGGAGTTGCAGCATTTGCTCATTTAACTTGCTCAAATCCAACAATCTGTGCGTAGCAGAAAGAGAAGAATAACAATTTAAATAGTGTCTGCAATTGCATTTTCTATTAATGAGTATATTTCTTTGTGAACAGGTAACACCTGGTTTGATTGGTTCAGCCCCAGCCTCCAGGGTACATATATGTAGGCTTAACTGACCCAATAATCTGGCATCTCCAGTCCCTTTCACCTGTAGTCATTTTTATGCAGACATAATTAGAATTAAGTTTCCTGTCTCCCTTCCCCTCTCATTTTTCATTTCCTTGTAGGCGGTTCAGAGAATACCCTCATTTCAGTGGTCCACCCTATCCCACGGTACCCCACTGCTTTATCCACTGGTTATGATGGGACAGTCTCTTATTAATGCCATGTCAGGTCTTTGTCTAAAAATTCTATAGAAGTTTGAACCCTGAGTGGCTCTGAACTTTTGATTGGCATGCACATCCTATTGCACATTTGAACCACTAACGCTGTGCTGCCTGTGGAACTAGGGGCAATGGGGTCCATACACCTATACTGTTACATGATGGCATCTGTTCTCCTCCTGCAATAACCATTTTTCACTGTACCACAATGTCATCTTTAAGAGCAACTCCCTCCCCTCTTACACTACTTAACTCTCTTGGAATGACTGTGCCATGGGGGCTCGGAATCTGTTGTTCTCTTAATCAGCATTAGTTCCCATGTACTTCTTAATAGTGAATGCATGTCTGTGTACTGAGTGCAATTCTAGAATTTCCTTCATCATACCCATAATAAACTTACTCGTTTTGCTTAATCTGGTAGAGCTAATGAGGACAAGTTTAGTGGGCTTTCCTAGCATTCTAGGTCACTTTCTTTGTTGTGTTTTTTTTTTGTTTTTTTTTGCTTCTTAGTAAAGCAGGAAAAAGACAGTTATGTAGTGGTATTATACCCTTCTTAATACCTCTTGTTTTTATATCACTTTAAATTTCCAATGTATCTCTCTTTTCTCCTCTTCATGGAAAGCCAAAAGCCACTTATTATAACGAAAAATTAAAAAAGAAAAAAAAAGTTCAGTGAAACTAACCAACAGAATAAAAAAAAGTCTTACATTATATGCAATATTGCATACCTATAGCTCTTGCTCTCTGCCTCCATCTCAGAATTAGGTTTCGAATTGGTTATCAGACTCATAATACAAGTATTTGATACAAAGATTTTTCTTTTTCTCAATTCAGTTGACTACTTTCCCTGTTGTCTTAGGTGAGTTGATTTGGTTCATGCAACAGCTTTTCAATTTCACTTAATTGAAATCATCTTTTCATCTTTTGTTGTCTCTGTCCCTTGTTTGGTTAAGATTTCACCCCCCTAGGGGTGACCAGGACCTTAATTTTTTTTTGTGTCATAGACTCCTTTGACTGCCTGATGAAGTCTATGAATGCTTTTTTTCAGAATATTTTTAAATACATAAAATGCATGAGATTACAAAAGAAACCAATTACAGTTAAATAGAAATGTAGGTTTATTTCCCATCCAAGTTCAGGAACCCTCTGAAATCTATTTGTGGACACCTGGGAGTTAGGACCTGAGGCTAACAACCCCTGCCATAGACATAGCTGTGTGTAAATTTATATGTGTACTTGATTTAGTCCTCTTCTAACTTTTTAAAATAGGATAACATATATTCAGGTCACATAGTCATTTGTAATTTATTGTGGTATATGGTATAAAGTATTGATCTCACCCTAATTTCTACTAGATTGCTTTCTACTTTGCCCTAACAATTCTTGTCAGATAAGGAGTTTTTTCCTAGGTAACTTACATTTTGTTTATCATACCCTGGTTATTGAATTTATTTATTCCTGATTCTTTTTTTTAAAGGAAGGATTAAAAAATATTTTCAGAAAAAAGAATAGTACGTGGAGATTAGATTTCCCCTGGTTAATGCAAAAAATCCAGGTTTGCATTTTAGTAGAGATAACTGTTTTGAGTTGAGAAGTTGATTAGAAAAGGGGAAAAATCCAGGGCGACATACCAGGCAGCCCCAGGAGTTACAGCTCAGCCAATTTTCAGAAGTAGCCTGGGTGAGAGAGGCTCTGGTTCAGTTTGGGTAGTTTTTCCAGCATTTCCATCAGCAGCGGAAAGGTAGGCTCTTCTCAAAGTTGAAGGCCCCACGAATTGACAAGATCTCACTGACTTCTTTCCCCAACCTGATTTATGCCAGGACTACTCAATACATTCCCTGATTCCATTCTGCCAGATCAGGGCCTCTGCAGCTTGGGTCCTAAAAAGGCCAGTCTTTCACTTGTAGCTCATACCAAACTTATAAAATACCAAAGGCATAAACATGAACTGTGCTAGAAAAGGGCAGCTTGTCTTCATCTTTCCCAGGGGTCATCTCCCAGACAATTTCTGGGACCAGATAGCATTGTCAATCATGTGGCAGCTTCAGTTTGTTTTCCTGCCTGCCTTCCTGGACCTTACCAGAGATCCCAAACAGCCTGAAGTCTGTGGTGCCACTTTGCCATTGTCAGGTCTTTGTGTACGATGCCCTTGGTGTACAAGATACTCCATGCCTTTGGTGATTTCCTGAGCAATCTGCGTGGTTTTGTTTATCCAGGCTTATCTTCAGGATCCCTCACAAATGAGTGAAGCATCTGTCCTTTATAGAAACTGGTGATGATGGTAAGGGGGATTAGGAATTCATGCACGACCCCATGAAGAGCATGATGTTCTTATGCCACATCTGCCTGTTAATTCATCACTTCCTTTTTAAACTGCTTGAGATGGTCCTGGTTGTTGCCATCAGTCTTCAGAGGACAGATTGTCACCTCCATGTGTTCTCTGCCCCACTAGACTTTCCCCCCCTGTCCCTGCCCAGTGGGCTCCCCCTTTGAGATTGTGCCACTCCTGCAGGTAGACTCTGGTCTTGCTGACTTTGCGAGAGATCATCCCTTTCCACAGCTTCTGGGAGTTAGAATGTCCATCTCATCCTTGTTTTCTTCCAACTCTGATTTACTTGCCTCTTGTTCTTTTATGTTTGCTTCATGGTTCTCAGCCATAGTGGCTTTCAGCTGGTCATTGATTCAGCCAAATCAGGGACTTGGGGTAGAGTGGAAACAGTTGGGAAATTAAACCTGCTGAACCATTGGGAAGGGGTTTGGTGGTGGTGTTACACTGAGGAGGGTTGGAAGACTTGAAGGGCATGAGGAAGGATGGTGTGGAAGAGATGGTAGAGGACAGGGAGGTGGTTTATGGCTGGGGGGGATGTTCCTTCTTTGTCAGGGCTTTTGAGAGGGTCATGAAATGGGGTTCTGTTGATCTCTCCACTGGGTTGTTGTCTGAAGGCACAAATTCTGTCCTCTGTAGTTTAGATAACGGTAGGAACAATATTCTACAAACAAGGGTTTCTTTTATGCTTTTCTTATGACACTTTAACCTGCATTTCTTCCACTTCTCCCCAAACATCATGCTCTGCTGCCACACATGACAAACCCAGGACAGCCAAGACTTTGTGGAGAACCTGTGGGTTGTCTCTTTGTATTGTCTGTAGGGATTCATGGGGCAGAACAAAATTGATAGAAGGTACCTTGTTGATTCTGTTTCCAATTTGAGATTCATGAAGTTTGCTCCTGATAAGAGTCGAGAAGTTGGTCAGCAACTGGAAAATTTTGTGGCTGGGTAGGCACACTACCCAGCTGTGGCTGGGCAAACTGAACCACTGGAAAGACTACTTCAAATCACTGATATTAAGAAAAATGCAAAGCAAAACTACTCTGTGGAAGGAGGATGGATATATTGGGAAATGTAGGTGATGTAAAAACAATATCTTTAAAAATTTATTTTAAGATGTATTGATAAACTTAATAAGTATTGTAGGTAAGTTCCAAAAAGATTGCATTCTCCCTAGAAGTTATTTTGTCAAGATTTCTTCTACTACTTGTTCCACTGGACTTATGTTTACTAATAACTAAATTGCTTGTATTTGTAAACCTGAGGGGAAAGTTTAGTATGAAGGTTTACCCCCGGGTGTTCTTTTGGTGCTTGATAGCAGTGATTGATTATTTCTACTTGTCAAAACAAAAACAGCCATAGCATAGAATAAGAAGGCACCAAATCCACAAAACAATTTCCCTAGCCTGAACTCAGATTTGAATTTCTTTTCTGATTTTTTCCCTCAAGTTATGAAATAAACTGAGTTGGGAGCACAGACCAAGTATAGGCCTGCCATTTAGACCTGAGTGTGTTGTTCAGGTAAACCAGTCTATTACTAATCAAGTCTTATACATATGTGAAGTAGTGTGGTATAGTGGAAAGAGCCCTGGATTTATAGGACTTCAGATCCTGGCTTTGCTACTTACTATCTGCATGCCTATGGAGAAGTCACTTAATTTCTCTGGATTCAGTTCCTCATCTTTAAAATGAGAGAATTGATTAGATGAACTCTAGGGTCCATTTCAGGTAGATCTTGTGATCTACTTCATGAAACTATCATATTAAGTGTGATTTCTGTGCTTTCTAGTGATCCATTGAAAATATGAGTCCACATAGGCTTGGTGTCTAGTCCTTTTTTGAGGGCAGACTTTCTTTATATGACCCATGGGTTAAATCTTGCCCCAGCTGTGTGACCGTGGGCAAGTCACTTAACTTCGGCACTTAGCACAATGCCTAGCACGAAGTAGGCACTATATAAGCACTATATAAATGCTGATTCCCTTTCCCTTTGCAAATCATATCTGCTCTTCTGTTCTCCAACCCTCTGCACCTCTGTTCAATTTAGCATGAATCAGGTTAAACTGAATCTCAGGGACAGCCTTGAAGGCAAATAGAAGTGAAGGATGAATGTAAAACTGACACAGAGATATCTGTGATAATGAGAGAGAACTTCAGTAGTCCCTCCTTTCAATAGCTGCTCAAAGTACAATTCTGCAGTTATTAAATTCTTGATTAGTATTACCTACGATTTTGTCTGGTGATAAAAGAAAGAACTTAATCCCAGAATTAAATCTGACCTGTAAGGAAAAATGAGTTGTTGAAGGGCATATGTCAGGAACCTTAGGAATAAGTGTTGGTTATCTTATGGTTCTATAATATCAAGGAAAATGAGAATACACTTTAGTCAACCTCTGGAATCCAAGAAAGCTGATTTAAAGAAGTTCAGAGAAAAGATAACATTATTCTCATGGCTAAAGTCTCTAAAATGACTCAGAAAGGACAAGAAATTCTAAAAGTTCAAATTTTGACAGTGCAAACTTTAATAATCACAGTCAGTAATGTAGCTATACAAGAATTTCTCTGAGGACAGATTTTTAAAAGGATACATACAATACAAAGAAGGAATGTCACTTAACCAAGATGAATATAATTGAGTGCCATAAACTTGTGTGAATGGTGTCAAAAGGATAAAATCTTGAAATAGACTGAGTCTAGTGAAAAGTGTTCAGAATAGGGATGTATTAGAAGTAAGGAATAGACTGGCCCAGGGTTTAGGGACTGTAATTGTAACTGTTGAGAGAGAAAGCTTAGGTTCCTAGTATTTAGAGATTGAATAGACCTTAGAAATCATTTAGTCCAACCCTCTCGTTTTATATACAGGTAGTAAGTAGCAAAGCTAAGATTTGAACACATGCCTTTTGCTCCTAAGTCCAATGCTTTTTCCATAACAATACATTGCTTCTTATTTAATGTGTACCTTATTTCAGAAGGTTTTTTTTTTGTTTGTTTGCTTTTTACACCAGCAGTGAGAATGGTCTTCTCACTGGAAAGAGTAGAAGAAAGAGGAAATTTTAGCCTAGTTTGGTAAGGTTGTAAGAGAATACCCTGACTATTTAAAAAGAGATCAGGTCTCCAGACCTGGATGAATTTCATTCCAGGATGCTGAAAGAACTTGAAAATGTTATCTTTGTCCTTTGTCAGTAAGTGTAAAGAAATCTTAAAGTGCAGGACAAGTGCCAAAAGAATTGAGAAGGGCAAATGTCCTGTTTAGTCTTTTTCTTTCCCTCAAAATTTTGTTTGTACATTGCCTTTGTGTATATGTGTGTGTGTGTGTGTGTGTGTGTGTGTGTTTGTTTCCCTTCCCCTCCCTCACTCAGAGGGTTATCCCTTACAGCAAGAAATAGGGAAAAAAACAGTTCTACAAAATTAGTCAATACATTAACTGATGTATATTTAGGATTTCACAGTCAGTCTTCCACCTTTCTAGTGGAAAGAGGTATGTTTTCTCATCCCTTCTTTAGGAACAAGGTTGACCAATTCTAATTAGATGGCATTTAATTTCATTTTTCTTTTATTTTTTCTAAACCCCTAATCTTGTCCTTCAACCTTACCGTAGTTACTATTCCCTCCACCCCTTAGGTCTTTACCCTACTTTAACTACTATGACACCTTGGTGAAGTAGTTTATCTCTGCACTGTTTTCTGCTCTCTAATTTCTTTTCCCTTTGTTCTGTCATTTATCGTGCCTTGCCAAACCACGACTCTGGGTTACTCTCACAGTCTGTCTCCTTTCTCTAATAACTCCTGGGCCCTCACTGCAGTGAAGCAATCATTCTGTTCTACTCTAATAGATTTGCTCTTACCCTCCACAGTGCCTGTTCTGGATGTCATCCGAAGTTTCCCACAGAACTCCCTCTCTACACCCTTTCCTCTGGGGACTTTGCCTTGTAGGTCACAGAAAAAAAAATTGTGGCATATACTCACTAAGAACTCCTTCCTTTCTCACCTCTCATCCCATCCCTCATACCATCCCCTACTATCTCCTCTTAAACTCATGTCTCTGAGGAAGAAGTTGCCAAAATTTCTTCTTGCCAAGACTTGTCTCTTTACCTTGCTATCATCCCCTTCCATCTTTTCCAGTAGATTGTCCCCACTGTTTAATTTTCATTCTCTCTCTAGTTATTGGTTCCTTCTCTTCTGTGTATAATTGCAATAGTCTTCCAGTCTATCTCCCTCCTTCATGTTTCTCCCCACTCAAATTCATCCTGTACTCATCTCCTAAGGTGATTTTCCTTAAGCACAGGTCCGATCCTATCATTTCCCTTTTCTGTGCCCTTGCCCCCACTAAAGGTTCGAATATAAAGTCCTTTGATACTTAAACTCTTCGTGATGTGACCCCTTCCTCCCTTTCTTCTCTATACTTTTTTTTTTTTTTTTGGGCGAGGCAGTCAGGGTTAAGTGGCTTGTCCAGGGTCACACAGCTAGTGAGTATCATGTGTCTGGGGCCGAATTTGAACTCAGGTCCTTCTGACTCCAGGGCTGGTGCTCTATCTAGCTGCTCCTCTTCTCTATACTTTTTATTCTTCTCTGCACTATCTATAGTCTGATCTAAAGGCTTCTTTGTTGTTTCTTGCGCACAGCACTCTATCCACCATCTCTGTGCCTTTACACTGCTGTCCTTTATGCCTGGAATCCTCTCCCTTCTCGGTTATGCCTTAGTTTACCTGGTTTTTTTCAAGACTCAACTTGAGGGCCCCTCCCACCTTTACCATAGGCCTTTCCTGGTCCCACTAGTCCAGCGGTGGGGAACCTCCATTCTTAAAGCCACATGTGGCCTTGAGGCTACAGGTTCCCCACCCCTGCTCTAGTCTAACTGCTGGTACCTTCCCCTCTGAGTACATATCTTGTATGTAATTTAGTTATTTTCATCTTAATTATTTTTATCTTTCATCATCTTACTCCTTAAAATGTAAGCTACTAGAGGGCAGACACTATTTTTTTTCTTTCTCTATAGCCCCAGCACTTAGTGTGAATGCTTAATAAATTTTGGAGACTGACATTGTTTTCCTAGCTCTGGTTACTTTACCTTATATCAGTTTATAAGTCTTCCCATTTTTATCCGGGTCCTTCATATTCTTCATTTTATATGGTATACCAATATTTCACTATATTCATGTGCCACAATTTTTTGAGCCATTCCCTGGTCAATAGGAATCTAATTTGTTTCTAGTTCTTTGGTCTAACAAAAGGTATTCCTGTTGGGCCTTTCTTTTCCATTTTTGGCCTTTGGACTATGTGCATAGCAGTGGGATATCTAGATCAAAGGGTATGGATATTTTAGTTACTTTCTTTGCCTAATTCCAGATTTCTTTCTAGAGTGGTTTGATCTTTTCACAGCTCACAACAGTGTATTAATGCTTGTCTTTCCACAACTGTCCATACATTGAGTGTTCTCATCTTTTGTCATATTTGCCAATTTCCTGAGTATAATGTGAAACTTTAGAATTGTTTTGATTTCCATTTTCCTTATTACTGATTTGGAAGTCTTTCAAATGGTTTTTAATGACTTCCAGTTATGCCTTGTAGAACTGTTTGTCCTTAGACTTTGATCACTTATCCATTGGGAAAATATCCTATTTTTCAAAACAAGGGAAGGTGCAACTAGAGCAGGGTAAATAGATGATTCAGATAATGCCATGATTTGACTAAAGTCAGTGGCATTAAAGATTCCAGCAAGAGACCAGGCAAAAGACAGGGAATCTCAGGTTAGAAATATAACTAGAGAGAGTGTCATGTGGACTTCTCCAATGAAGAACTCAGACCTTTTGAGGCTTTTTATCCTTAGGCATTTTGGGATTATTTGGTTAGCATTAATATCCTAGAATAAATGATAGGACTTTCACTGACTTTTTAAAGGAGGAGAATCCTCTGCATTTATCTTGTAAGTCTTTAGTATCTGTGATAGAAGTCAGGCCATGTTTTCAGCTGAATTTTGAGACTGAAGTAGGTCTACAGTTCTCATAGTGACCTGCTGTGTTCCATCTTGAGGGTCAGGGACAGCCCAGGCTCTTCCTTGTCAGAACTTTCCATCTCCATTGTAGGGACAAGAATCTTTACAAAAGTGTTCTTCCTGACAGAGCAAAGAGTGAGGCTTAGAAACTACAATGGGCATCTGACACTTCTCTTATGAGTCAATCAGGTATTTTTTGAGCATATATTCTAAGTTGTGTTCATTTTAAAGTCTTTAGCTATGTGAATACTCACACTACCTGCGTAGACACATAAACTTAATATCCCCAGGGTGGTGGGAAGGGGGGATGGTGAAGAATAAAAAGAGATCTCAGAAATTATTCTTCTTCTCAAGGAACTTACAGTCAAATTGGAGAGAGAAAAATATGAGAAAAAATTCACAGTTTAAGTCAGTAAATAAAGTACACATTAAGGGTATTAGTAATCACTTGCCTTTACATAATGCTTGAAGGCTTGCAGAGTACTTTTTCACAGCACTGTGGGACTGGTAGTATACTTGTTATTATCCCCTTTTTACAGATGAGAAAACAGAGACTATGAGAATCTTAGTGACTTTCTTTTGATCACGTAGCTAATGAGCTTCTGAGGCAACACTTCAGTTCAAGTTTCATAACTACTTCCATTGCTTTATCTGCTATACCATGCTACCTTACGACAGATAGTAAGGGCTGTGTGAATTAAGAGGGAGAGGAAAAGAAATCATTTTGGCTGGAATAATCTAAAAAAGTAAAAAATGGAATAATTTTGTCTTCACTATTTGCATATATTGCATGTAAACACTTTATTTCATGAAAATCTAATATATTGGCCTTTATTTTTAGGGCTACAATAGTTTCGCTGGAAGATTTTGAACAAAGGCTGAATCAAGCCATTGAACGAAATGCATTTTTGGAAAGTGAACTTGATGAAAAGGAATCTTTGCTGGTTTCTGTTCAGAGGCTAAAGGATGAAGCAAGAGGTACAGTTTCTTCTTTCCTGCAGTGATTGGTCCAAAACACTTATTCACATTCTGTATGGCATCTATGTGGCAAAGGGAACAGAGCATTAGACTTGCAGGCAGGAAGACCTGAATTTGAATCCTGGCTCAGAGATTTACTAGCTGTCTGATCTTGGGCAAATCACCTAACCTTATTCAGTTTCAGATTCTTTATCTGTAAAATGGAGATAATAATAGGCCTGCCTCCCAGGGTTATTGTAAGGATCAAATAAGACAACGTATGTTTTGTAAAGCACTTTGCAAATTTTCAAGAGCTATGTGTATAATGTTAGTTGCTTTTATTACTTTTATTATTATATTTGCTGTTACTTCTTGATCTTGACATTTTCCTGGGAATATTTGATGGTTCTCTGCTCCCTTAGAGTACTCATTCAATTCTCAGGAACTTTAGATTTACCTTTGTGTGTTCTATATCTATATTCCCAGTGTATAGCTTTTACTTGAACTCTAGTTCCGTTTTCAAGCGTTTGCAGTTCATTTCCATTTGAAAGTCCTACCATTACCTCTTTGGAAGTAGCTGTCCTTTCCCATGCTACAGAATTTTCTTCCACACCTCAATCAATGCCTACAACTTACAGCTCCCCTTCTCTAACTTCCTGTTTTCTTAAGAGCCCCAGGGAGCCCCTGGTTTCAATACCTTCATTAAGCCTCTAAGTCACTTGATAGGGTTTTGGGAGTCATTTGCCAAAAGGTAGCTGTTGAATTTGTGAGAGAATATGAATTAATTCTTAGTGGGAGAAGAGCTGAAGTTCAAGCTTTGAAAGATGAACATAGGAAATTAGAGGATAAAGAAAAAGTCAATGGAGTGAACAGAAGGAATTGTAGACGTAGGAAGAGCACCAGGAGGTATCATTGTCATTGAAGTAAAGGAGAAAAATTAAGGAACAAAGTGAATGTCAAATGTCCTAGAGAGGTCATCAAGGAGGAGGATATTAAAAATATCTAGTGGGTTACCTAAAGAGAGATCACTGTTGACACTAATGTCTCCTTTGACCAGAGAATGTGAAGTCTTTAGATTTTAATCTAATGGAGGAGTTCAGGTCCTTTGTTATAATTTTCAGGAAGTCATTAAAAACATTTGATATTTTTAAAAAATCATTACTTCTTGCTTGCTCTTTTCTTCATTGGGTATCTTTTTTTTCTTTCCCTGTTAGTATGTTAAGGGAATACATCACCTGCGAGTAGTAGAAAAATAAATTCCATTACTCTTTCAGAAAAGCTATTAAGAAGGGATAAAGTGTATTACATTTCTTTTCAATTCATCACCTGATGTATTTTTGGCTTATCCTGATTTTTTTTAAACCTGGATATGCAACAGCACAAGTAATTATTCTCAAGACTTCAAACATAGTAGGCACTTAACATTTTTTGATTAAATGGAAAAGCATTTAAGTGCTTACTATGTGTAAAGCAATGTGTTAAGCAGTGGGTTGCTTAAACAACTTCTGTTCTCAAGGAGTTCATATCCTATTGGGGGACATAACACATATGAAAGGTTTCAGAAATAAGGCAGGTGGTAACACTTGGTTAGTATTGTTCCCATTAATAAAACGCTGTCAGTTTCTGATGTCAAATCATTTGATGCTGCCCAGGTGTTAAGAATTTTTTTTTTCTGGGTCTGTAGATATTGTGGCTGCCAAGGAGGTGGCAGCTTCAGCACCTACACAGGTCACATTTCCACAGGGGTTGCTCGCTATGGGGCAGGTTAGAAGTAGTGGTGTGAGGTAGTACTGCTATTTCTTGGGCTCTTAGGCTCCTTACCTGCCTGATAGTAGCAGTTGGTCACCAGTGGATATTGATAGGAATGGGCATGGCAGGCTCTTTCTCCACAGGCCTTGCTTCTCTCTATGATAGTTGTGGGACCAGTCTGGAAGCAGACTTGAATAAACATTTTTAAAGATCTAAGACATCATTTAAACACTTGAGTCATTATGTTAACCCAGTAGACACCTTCTGATATATAAATAAGAGAAATTGAATGGTTTGGAAAATTTATAATTGAGATACTATTGAAATAATGTGATGGGCTACATGGGCTACCATTCAGGTATGGCTTCCTGAATGATACACTATGCTTTGTCTCTGTTACTTCCAGTAATTGTTACTACCTGAATATTTTTATATTGTAGATTTAAGACAAGAACTAGCAGTACGTGAAAGGCAACAAGAAGTAACCAGAAAGTCGGCTCCTAGTTCTCCGACTCTAGATTGTGAAAAAATGGATTCTGCTGTACAGGCATCCCTTTCCTTGCCAGCCACTCCTGTGGGGAAAGGGACGGAGAACAGCTTTCCTTCACCAAAAGGTTTGTAATTTCTTTCCTCTTCCCAGCTGTAGAATATCAACTTAAAATAGTTTTAGGATTAAGCAGGATATTTGGTGATAGTGGTGGACCCAAGCCTATGGTATCTTTGGCATAGTGATACTCCTATGGGAACTCTTGATTGGAAAGCTCCTTTTACCAGTGTAGATTGACACCTTGCTCTTCAAATTGTAATCTTATAGAGTTGCTTTGGGGCACTTAGAGATTAATTAGCTTTCCAGGATCACATAATCATAGACAGGGGTTGAAAATCTTCCTGACTTGGAAGCTAGCTCTCTATCAAGTATGTCACCTTTAAATGAGCCTTTATTAAAAGGGCAGAACACTTCTGATCAGTCAGTTAGTCAGCATTATTAAGTGCTTAGTATGGGCCAGGCACTGTGCTAAGTGCTAGGTATACAAAGAAAGACAAAAAACAAAAAAAAAGAAAGCTCTCAAAGAACTCCCAGTGTAATGGGAGTGACAACATATAAACAACTATGTAAAAACAAGATATAGACAGGAAAATTTCCAGGGTAGTCTCAGAGGGAAGGAACTAAGATTAAGTAAACCTGGGGAAAAGCCTTCTTGCAAAAGGTTGGAATTTAGTTGAGACTTGAAAGAAGTCAGGAGGTAGAGATGAGGAATGAGAGTCTTCAGGCATTGGGGACAGTGAAAATGCTTAGAGTCTGGAGAAGTGTCATGTTCGAAAAACAGCACCAGTGTCATTGGATCACAGAGTATATGGAGAGGAATAAGGAATAAGACTGGAAAAGTAGGAAGGGCCGGGTTAAGAAGGACTTTAAAAGCCAGAGAGAGAGAGAGAGAGAGAGAGAGAGAGTGTGTGTGTGTGTGTGTGTGTGTGTGTGTGTGTGTGTAGCAGGTATATAAACCATTTTTTTGGATGGATGACTTGCCAAAAGAAAACATTGAAGAAACGTACAAATTAAAAAACATTTTGAGAGAAAAAATATGACATTTAACTAACTTGTTTTTAAATTAAGCACAGAGTACATAGAATTTTATTAAATAACAAATTACATAGTAAAAACATACTTTAGTTGCAGGTAGAGGAACATCAGGGAAAAAAGGAAGAGGAGATACATTCAAACCAAAAAGAGTGACTAAAAGGGAAAAAAACATCCAGACAAAGAAAAGGAGAGAGAGAGACATTTAGGGTGGGGGAGAAGCAGAATGGTAAAGGTATTAAGATTAAAACAGAAGAATCAAGAGAGATAAGAGAAAGGAACAAATATCTCACCTTGCCCTAAATTCTGTATCTCCACCCTGCCAAAGGCCTTTGTTCTAACCTGGTTTACTACCTGTTTTCTTCTGGCTCCCAAAGACTGTCACCAAAAATGAACTGTAGCTCTTTGAAAGGCATTGGCCCCCAGTTAGCCAAAGCAGCTTTGATTCATTTCAGCAACATGTTATCTTTTTTTCTTTCCTATCATTTGTTTATGGATTAGGGCAGATCTGACAGGAGTTTATGAGGTTCTATTTGGATTTTGCTGCTCCCTTGTTGCTGTTGGCGAATTGTGGTTGTAATAGCGTAGCATAGCTCAGGCCTTAGGTTAGGTGCTCAGAACTGAACTAAAACTCTGAGTAACTGCCACACTAGCATGTTATTATGTGAATATAAGCATTTATTTACAGTAACCAAATGAATAATAGCTAATGCAGTTTTAAATTAATAAAACAAGCAATACTAAATTTATAATAAAGGAAGAGAAACCTACAGAGGCAACTCTAAACATTGAAATGTCTTTTTTTGAACTTGTAGCCAGTAAGTTTTAACTTATTCCTTCTTTAAGACTTTCCTTAGTCATTGTCATGAAAGGCATATGATCTACTTTTTTTCTAATTTTTTTGTGGTATGATTTTTAATATTCAGGTTACATAGCCTTTTTGTATTTATTATAGTATATAGTGAGTTGTCGGTCCAAAGCTGATTTCTGCCAGACTATTTTCCAGTTTGTCTAGTAATTTTCATCAAATAGGGAATTCTTTCCTAGATATGTTTTTGAGTTCTTTTGACACTGTTACCGAATTAAATTTTTTCTGATTCTTCCTTGTCTATTCTGGTCTTTTGATCTACTTTGATGTTTTTAGCCAGTACCAAAATAGTTTTGATAACTTGACTTTATAATTTAGTTTAAGGTCAGAAATACCATTCATCTTTTTTAAAAAAAATCAGTATTCTAGATCTACCATCTCTCCAAATAAATTCTGTTATTATTTTGTCTAGCTTTGTGAAGAATTGTCCCTTTGCAGTTTGATTTCTGTAGCATTAAATCTTAAATTTAGCTAGTACCAAATATCCCTCCAGTTATTTAAGTTGTTTTTTATTTCTTTAAGGAATTTTTTGTAGTTCTTTCTTCATGGGTATTGAGTATGCTTTGGTAGATTGATTCCTGGGTATTTTATGCATTTGCTGTTTACTTTGAATAGAACTTTCTGTTATTGCTTCTCATATTTTGTTATTGTTACAAAGAAACATTGGTATTTGTTGGTTTATTTTGTCGCCTTCAACTTGACTGAAACTTAATTGTCTCAATTAGTTTCTTTGATGATTCCCTAGTATTTTTAAAGCACACCATCATAAGAACAGGTATAGGGACTAGATCTGTAATTTCACTGGTACAGGAAATTACTAGATGCAGAAGGCCCCTCTAACCAATGCAGATGAGCACTGACTCTGCAATTTTAAATCTTATTAGAGTTTAAAATCTCTAAAGTCTCTCACGTACAGATAGTAACATTGCCAAGGTCATGCAATCAGTACAGTGCTTGAAGCAAGACTGGAATTTAGGTCTTCCTGCCTCCAGAGCCAGCTCTGTTGTGCTCACCAAACCTTGCTTCCTCTAGTAATAAAGCATTATGTCATGGGTACAAAGGGATAGTCTTATCTCTGCTTATGTTTATACATTTAATTTTTTCTCTTTGTTTTATTGCAAGCATTTTTAGAACTGTGTCACATAACATCAGGGAAAAAGGCAGTCCTTACTTTACTCCTGTAGATACTAGTAAAGTTTCTAGTGTTTTCCCATTGCATATAAGAGTAGCTTTTGATTTTAGGTGATCCTTCTATGCCTGTACTTTGTAGAATTTTTAGTATAAATAAGTTTTATACTGTGTTTTATACTTTTTGCTGTTTATACAATTGTATAAAATTTGGGATTAAAAAATGTGATTATTAGCATGCTTTTGCCCTTTATTCTAGCATTCTGTAATCAACATGGGAGGGTGGGGTGGATTCAAGAACATAGGGTCAAATCCATACTATAATGAAGCATTGGAGTAGAACTTTGTGGAGAGTTTGTTTTTCATTTATTTTACTAATGTTGTGACTTTTTTGGAGGAGTAGACATGTTCCCCTTTCTCATCTTCGTAACATTTCAACTTGGTAGCCTTGGCTAAAGAAATAAAAACTAGTATATAATTTAGAACAGATTTTCACTCAGATTTTCCTGTGTCTACTCAGTCTAGCATTTTCTTTTGCTCCTGGAGAAGGTTCTTCAATCTTGTCTCCAAAATGAGCTTTCTGTGTTTTCAAATGAGATAATATATTTAAAGTGTTTAGGGAAGCAGAAAATACTTCAGTTATTATTAGTATTTCATGAGCAAAATTCATTTTTGAAATTGGTAGTTGCATGTTGTACTTGTACCATAGATGAGTGCACAGGCTAAATGTGTATTTATAAATGGTTTCAACAGCTACAGAATCTATTCTCTATTATCTTGGTATTTATTTTTACTTTGCATGGAGAACAAAGTCTGTGGTAAATCCGGAATTGGCTATGGCTTCATGCTAGTGCTAAATCCATTTTGCTCTGTTTCCTTTGAAGCAGGAGACATGAAGGAGAGGAAGATGTGTGTACATTTAGGACTAATTTAATCATTAAAAAGTAGGGATAGGAGTTATGAAACAGGTTATGCTTATGATGAATAAATGTAGTATGTGCAAAACTTAGAGAATTATAAACACATGTCTTTATTTCCTCCAGGTATACCAAATGGTTTTGGTACCAGCCCACTAACTCCTTCTGCAAGGATATCAGCATTAAACATTGTGGGGGATCTCTTGCGGAAAGTAGGGGTGAGCACTCAGCTATTTATCCCTTTAAGTTTCAGTTACCATGTGGTTACTCTATTATGTTGAAAGCAAAGAATAGAAGGGAACCCTTCTTACTATGAAGAAAATGTTTAAACTGAGAAACTATAGGATGTAGTGTCTTGAAGACTTTTTAATAGAAAACCAAATTTACATTTCTGTTTTTTGTTTTTTAGCAAGGCATGATGAATCCAACTTAATTATTCATTTGATTGAGTTTTTTTACCTTTACTCCCTTCCTGCCTTGATGCTGGTTCAATAAACCTCTAAGGATAAATGGAAAAGGGGAAGGAGTTTAGGTTTCAATCTTTTAGTCTCCTTACTTGTTGAAAGTTCTCTTAAAAATATGGAGTGGAAACTGAATGAGTTAGCTGTTGTCAGCAATACAGAATCCAAGACAATTCCAAAAGACTCATGATGAAAAATTCTGTAGACATCCAGAGAAAGAACTAATGGGGTCTGAATGCAGATTGCAGCATAGTATTTTTCACTTTCTTTATTTTTTTTTCCATGGTTCTTTTTTTTCTTTTGGTCTCTGTCTTCTTTTGCAGCATAACTAATATAGAAATATATTTTGTATAATTGCACATGTATAACCTATATCAAATTGCTTACTGTCTCAGGGAGGGGGAAGGTGAGAGAGAGGTTTGGAACTTAAAAAATTTTTTTTAATGTTAAAAATTGTCTTTATGTGTGATTGGAGAAAAATAAAATATTTAAAATATGGAGTAGAAGTTCAAATTAATTTCTCAAATCATTTAATTATTTTTATGAATAAGATACCTTTCTTGCAATAGCTGTGCATGCTTTGTAAACCATAAAGTATTATATAATTGTGAACTAATAATATACTAGGCAGGTACCCCTAGTCCCTTATAGTCATATTGTTTATTATAAGAATTATTCTTTTTTTTTCCCGTGTGCCATATTTGTCCATCTATTAAGTGGAAGTAATGAGATAGATCATGTAGTTAACATGCTAATTTGGCTTCCCCAGTTTGGCAAAAAGCCATAGGAGGTTTTTAGGAGGCCTTATGAGAAATCACCAATATTTACTTTTTTGTGAACATTTTAATTATAGACATGAAGTATAAGAGATTATATGATAAAGTTGTACTTTAAAGAGCACCAGATCTGGAGTCAAAAGACTGGGGTTTAAATTCCAGCTCTTTTACTATCTGTGTAATCTGAAAAGCTAGCTAAATTTAGAAGAGCTCAAAGGAGATGTTTGGATATAATTAAAATTTGCATTATCATTCCCATGTAAAAAGTATGTATTCTTCTGTTGAAGACTGAATAGAGAACTAGGAGACCTGAAATCCATCCCTTGCTTTACCACTTTCATGTTAGAATTTTTATTAACTGTTAGGGTAGAGTGATATCTTGAGAATTCTTAAGTAATAATTCATTAAGTTTATAAAGTGTTTTGAGCTCCTTACAAAGAAACTTATTTTATTAGTTGATTATTGTTTGATTATAGCTCTAGTTTTCTAAGTTATTTAGATAGCCTATAGCCTTTATTATAAAATGGGCAAGTGGCATCAATTATCTATGAGAATGGTTTGAAATATAGATTCTTATATGCAGATACTGTTTTGATAAGCAAATTTTATTTCTTCTTTATTTAGGCCTTAGAATCCAAATTAGCTGCTTGCAGGAATTTTGCAAAGGATCAAGCATCACGGAAATCTTATATTTCAGGGAATGTTAATTGTGGCCTGGTGAATAGCAACAGCACAAAATTCTCTCGTTCAGGGCATACATCTTTCTTTGATAAAGGGTAAGTCCTAAAGAACATGGAAATTAATTTTTTTTGAGTAAGACATCGGGAAAAGTTACTGAATGACCAAGTGTGTTTAGTGAAACTTGATGTACTTGAAACATATAATACATAAATATACTTAGTTGTACAAATCCAGAAAGTGTAAACCAGTGGAAACTTGTTAAATTTAATCCAGGTCCCTTGAGATCTACATTGTGTGTCATTATCAACCAGATTAGAATAGAATTAATTCTATTCTAATTCACTCTCCTCTTGTTGACCCATAAAGGAAAAAACTTTGGGCTAACTGAAAGAAGTAAATACTTCTAAAGGTACCTCTGAGTCAGTAGCTTTTGAGCCATTTCCTCTCTGTTACTAATATTACTAGCATACGGAGTTCTTTTCTCCCATTTTCCCTGTGAAAGCAAAACATTAGTTACTAGAAGATTTCATGGACTTTTAAGGGATCCTGCATTATTTGTTTTGCTTATTAGCTATAACAAATATATGAAGGGTGTTAACGCCAGGTGTATTTAAGCCCCCTGTAAAAGTAACTTTTAGTTCTGTTTGCATAAACATATATAACTGAGTATCTTCATTATCTTTACCTTAGAAAGTTTGGCTCTGGAGCCAGGTAAATATTACTACTAATTAATGCTTTTTGATTAAAGGGCATTTTACTTTCAAAGCACACATCATTAGATCTAATAATCCTAACCATATTGCTGAAATTTTAAGTAATTTTTCTCCATCTCCTGGAGTTTCTGTGTGGATATACTCTCCCTGATAAGATGTAGGTAATTTTTCAGACGGACTTGAAGAATGGCCATATTTTACTCTGATTTAAAGGGAACAGATAAGATAAAATTTTGTGTGAAGGCTTCTGTTTACCTCAAGTGCTATGGAGAAAATAAAGGGGCATCCTTTATATAAGATTTGGGTGTTGGAAACAACATCTAGAAGATACATTAGATTTTTATCTAGTGACTTCTGATTGTCTCTAATATATTAGTTATTTTCTCTCCTTTTTGAGTCATGTTCTCTAGGAAATCTATCCAACCTGTTAATGCCATTCCAGGGGAACTGAGATAAACTATAATTTCCCTGATGAAATGCATTATTATCTTAGAGACATACTTATGTGTATTCCTTTAAATTATATTCAGTCCAGAATCCCCTGTTATTCTGTTCTCATTTAAAGTTCAGAGTATCTGAAGTTCTTTTTAGTTGTAGGAAGCCTATTAACAACTTGATGGGAGTAGGGGGAGGAGTGGGTAGATGATGTGAGGATGAAGGAAGATTTTGAACTGGAATATATTTTCACATAGAAACAATGTCTTAAGTGTTGGTTTGGGGTGATCAATACAATACTAATTGTGTGTACTAGCATAATATAGTATAATACTACTGTAATCATGTTATGGACTGAAGATATTTTTGTGAACTGGCCTAGGAATTTAGCCACCAGTTAAAATACTTCCTGTGAGAAAATGTGCTTCTGGCTTTAAACATCTGACCTATAGATAAATTTTTGGAGCTCTAACCCTTTTGTAGGTTGGGAACTTTATTTGTTTATGTTCTGTTGTTTTTTCAGGTCACTGAATTATGGCTAAAAAAATAAGGCTAGTTAGAAACGTGAAGAAAGATAAATCTATGGTCGTTGTATTTCCTGGTAGATGGGAGAGCTTGTGTGGAGGCCAGATGGTGCTCTGATGCTTCTTTTGGGCAAGGGGACACCATCTCTCTGGCTTCAGTTAACCTGAGGTTCATTTATTGACATTTACTGTGTGTCAGCATATACCAGCTTTGGAACAGTATTAAAAACGTTTTTATTTGAATTGCTTGTGATTTAAAAAAAACCCAAAAACAAGAGATTGAAAAACTTTATTGTATGTCTAAATCCCAGTGGAAAAAAGATATTGAATTATCAAAATAATCTGTACCAACCTATTTAGAGGACATTTCTCCAGAGATGACTCTTGATGCCTGTCTCTGTAGGTGGCATTTTGATTAGACTGAATGATTTCTAAGGCCTACCATTCTGCAACATTTCTAACATATCAACTTCCATGTTCTGTTGTTCAGGCCTTCTCTCTGTCTCCCGCAGCTATTAAGAGTCCTTTCTTTTTCCTTGTTCATGAATTAGGTACCTTTCTGAGGGCTCACTTTTTCGAAGTTACTTTCTAACAGCTTGCTTCTATTCTTATGTGTTATTGTGAGCTGAAGAAACCCTAGGCAGCAGCATAGGAATAAGGGTCGTTTGAAAGGACAGGGGCTCAGTCCCTTCCAGTGACAGATTTGGAACTGTAGACATATAGGAGCTCTTCAACACCTAGCACAGTGTCTGGCATGTTATTTAATAAATGCTTGTTGACTGATTGACATCTGTGGCAATAATTTTGGAAACCTTTCTGGAAACTTAAATGTAGCATGCCTACCAGGGGCAGTCTTTAGAGAAACAAACTTATAAGTAATTTGGGTTTATTTGTGGGAATTAGACTCTTAGTTGTCTTATTCAAAAGGAGACAAATATGTAACACTTTTAGGCCTTGTTGTTAGTATTGTTCTTTGGTGAATTTTTTTTTTCCAGCTATATAAAACCTTAGCACTGGTTGATTAGAATTTTTTTTCTTTTCTCTGTCACAACTCTTTAAATGGATCAACTAGTGATGTATGCTCTTCTATCTAATCTAGTCCTCTGTACTTGTTTAGATGAAGGAACTAAAGAACAGCAGTTAATTATGTCATTTGACCTATCCAAGGATATCGATTCGAGTCTCTACTTCTACCACTACTTTGCTGTGTATTGAAGGCATATCTCTCTGGGACTCACATTACTCATTGAGCAAACTGGATGGTCTCTAGTGTATGACTTTAGGTCAAGCTTTGTTCTCAAAAAGCAGATAGGGTTTCACTTAGAATCATCATTTTCTATTTTCTTTGACTTTGAAAATGATAGTTTGTTAAGTTCATAATAATACAAAAGACAATATAATTAAAATAAAAATTGCTATTTGATACCTGCTGAAGTATAATGCTAGAAAGGAAAGACAATGCGTTATGTTGGCCAGCAGCCTTTAAACAGTCTAATTTCTGGTGGGCTTTGTGCACATTTGCATGTGTTAATTTTTCATAAATTGTGTGAAAATAGTCTGTGTTGCTATTTACATAAATTGTTTCCTTTTTTTTTTCTTAGGCAAGAAAAAGTCATATTCCCCACCTTGTTCATGGGTAATTGAATTATTTTGCTGTGGTTGGGCGCATTCTTTGAATCCTGGTGTCTGATTTAGAGACATTAACCAAAATTCAGCATACTAACTGCATGGGCCTGACTCAATTCAGTTCATCAAATAAGACTTGCTCTGTGCCAGCACTGTGCCGGGGATACAAAGACAAAAACCACCCTTAAGGAACTTCTATTCTTTTCCCAGTTTTAACCAGCTTATAGCTCATTAGTGACCAGTTTTGAACTGGCTACATATTGCTAGTTACATTCTACTTTTAGAAAGAGTTGAAAGAGCTTCAGTTCTGGTTCTAGTACCACTGAACAGCTCTTGTCTCCTCACACTCACCCCACAAATCCATTCTGTTGCTAAATCTTGTCATTTCTGCAAACATCTCTTACGTGTTCCCTTTTTTCTACTCGCATGCCTGCCACCCTGGTGAAGGCCCATATTACCTTATACCTGGACTAGTACAAAAACCTTCTAACTGGTAACTGGGCCTGAAGTCTATCTCCATACCAGTCAATCTTCCACTCAGCTGCCAAGCTCATATTTCTGAAGTGTGGGTCTGACCACGTCACACGCAAAGTGAGTTTCAGTTACTCCCTACACTGTCATGATCAAATATAAAGTCTTTTCTTTAACATTTAAAACTCTTCATAGCCTGAACAGCCCTCTTGTATCTTTCCAGTCCTCTTACACTTTATTCACCTTTATACAATTGTATGTACAATTCAGCAACACTGGCCTACTTGGAAATCCTTTAACACGATGCCACATATCCCATCTCCCTTCCTTTGATGTTCCCCATGCCTGGAATACTCTGTTCTCACCTTTCCTCTTTGTTTCCCTGATTTCTAAACTCAGCTCAAAGCGTACCTTCTGCAGGAGGCTTTCCCAGTGTCCCCAGCTGCTAATGCCTTCTTCTTTCAGATTACCATTATCTACTCTGTATATATGTATGAACCTAGTTATATACATGTTGTCTTTCCCATCAGAATATACAGTCTTTGAGGGCAGGGACTGTGGTTTTTTTTTTGTTTTTGGTTTTTTTTTTTGTCCTTCTTTGTATCAGCACAGCACTTAGCTCATAGTAAGTCCTTAATAAATGCTTGTTGGTCGACTGGCTGACTGATTAGAAGTTCTTTCTTTCTTTTGAGGGATCAGCAACTATTTTTAAACTTTCTGCTTATGTTACACTATAGGTGAATAGGGATTTGTTTTTTTAGTACTTTGGTAATAAGACCTAGATTTAACTCCCGATGGAAGCCTCCAGAAAGACCTGAGTAGAAATATGCCCTAGGAGTAAAGTCCATGGTTATATTTTCAGTTCTCCTTTCTCTTCTCCTCCCTAGTAGCTGCTTTTCTATTTGTCTTTTAGACACAGCCTAAGTTATTTCTCTTGATTCTCACAAAACCCTGTAGGTTAAGGTAGTGATGCGCTTTGGCACTAGTGACTAATGTGGTCAGGGCTTTAGGTAAAGTGAAGCCAGGCGTTACTTCATCATAATCTAATGTGATTTTGTGGGTTTCATATTGTTACCTAATATTTTTTGCATTTCCAAATCATAACTTATATGTGTTCCCTTATTCTTACCTATTTTAGGATGCAGGAGTTGGACCCCAGAGTGAGTGAGAGTAACGTATAGAGAAATTGATGTAATTTCTCCAGTGATTTCCCATTTTCAAAACACCAGGGATGATGACAATATGAAAACTGCAACTGTTCCTGAGAAGCAGCTTTTTTTTCCCCATTAAATCCATTCAGAGCAATTGTAGTTAGCTTTAATGGCA